CGCCCGCGAACAATCAAATCGAAAGCCTTGTCAAAATCAACGGCCGCCGCCCATCGGGGCAGTTGCCACTCGCTGGGCCGTTCTTGCACGATCGCCGTCGCGGACAGATTGTCGTCCGCGCTGAAGCCCTTCCTGAAGCCAGCCTGGTCGGGGCCCCGCCCCTTGTCGAAGGCGGCCTCGAGTCTGTTGAAAAGGAGTCGCGCTATCAATTTGCACAGCATAGGCATCTTCTCCAGCTAGTTCGCCGACCTCTTCCCGCGCCAAACTCTCACGTACAAGTGCCCAGATGCCGACCGCGCGGAGCAAGCGCGACTGCTTCACCGCTATCCACAATAATGCGCGAAGCTTGACGACGGACGCGGCCGTCAGCGCACTGCAACATGAAAGGCGGCACGTCGAATGGGACACATTGGCCGCCAAGGACACGCGGAGAACAACGCCGCGACATACGTGGCCGGCCAAAAGAAAGAGAGAAAAAACAAAAAAACGTCTGCAGTATCTGGTCATCCAGCCTCTCCCCGCGGAGTGGGGCTTCTCATCAATCAACAACTCGTTAAGCACGCGCGGCAATTCAAACGGGCGCGCGAGAGGACCGCTCGCATCGACATCAACATACCACATTGACATGCGAAAATCAGCACGGCGCATTTCCTCCCCAGTGGATGCTGCGATGAGCGCGCGCAGCACATGCGCGACATCCTCGCCACTCTACTAGGAGGGGCTAGAAAACAATGGCGGTCGGAGATTGCCACTGGCGACTACGGTTGGGGGAAGAATCGATTGCCACGGCGACGCCGGGAGTTAATGACATGCGAATATCGCCGGCAAAACATGCTTTTTGGTCGGCGGGGCGAGAGCGAACCTCTTCTGCTGAAAGCTAGGCGGGCTACGCGCAGCTTTTATTAAGAGACCGGGCACAAAAAGGCGGGGCCTCAGGCGGCCGGGGCGGGCGGAGCCCGGGGCGCAGGCGGCGCCGAAGAGCTTGCGCAGGGAGGGTGCGCCGCGGACAGGGACCGGGGGCGAAGACCTGGAAGGCGAAGGAGATGGCGTTGCCGTCAACGGCACGTCGCGAACACCAGCCTCAAGCACTGCAGAGGAGAACGCGCCACTTGACCAGGTCGACGCCCGGGAGAGAGAAGAGCACCACGAAGGCGATGAGCGACGTCGCGCCACCGGATGATGCGGAGGAGACCCAGGAAGAACAGGAGCACCACGAAGACGATGTGCAACGTTGCGCCACCTGGCGGTGCGGATGAGGCCCGGGGCGGTAGTCCAATCCACGACCAGGTAGCAGCCAGCTTGAGGCGCGGCCACAGACGAGGGGGCCGTTCATGACCGACAGGAGCCGGGCCTGAGCCGCGCAGCGCCATGGCGAGCGGGGCCGCCGAGGCGGGAAGGCGCAGCGCCCGGCACCGGGCCGATGCCGCGCAGCGCCAGGCGCTGCCGCCATGGGAGGGGGGGAAGCGAGCGGGGGGGGGAGAAGCGAACAGGGAGGAGAAAAGCCGGCGCGCCTCGCCAGCCGTCGTCGTGCCAGCCCGCACCGCAGGTGCTCGCGCGGGGGGGACTGGGCCCCGATGGGCACAGGTAGGACACACGGCCCCAGAACATGTTAAAGACAAGTGAAGGGGGAAGGGGGGGCAGGTACAGTCGGAGACCAGGTGGACCAGCAAGTGGTCGCTGCGCGTGAGCCGCGCTCGTCTCAAGTGCTGCGAGGGAACAGGTAGGGGGGAAAAGGAGGACACACGGTCCCACGTCAGGTGAAGAGGGAGGAGGAAGGGGGCACAGGTGGCGGGCGTGGCCAGCGGTGGGTAGGACCTCGACCTTGCCGCAAGTTGTGGGAGCGTAGGAAGGCGGTCGCGTCGCGCGAGCTGGAGGGCACACGGTTCCAAGCCAGGTGAAGAGGGATGAGGAAGGGGGAACAGGTGGTAAGCGTGGCCAGCAGTGGGTAGGACCAGGACTTTGCCGCACGTTGCTGGGAGCGTGGAAGCGGTCGCGGCGTGCAGTGTCAGCGCCTAGGGCCTAGGGCGCTTTCGGTCCAGTTGTCGTTGTACCTGGAACTGCGTGCCTGGTCCTCTCCGCGCCCTGCACCTTTGGCGACTTATTTTTTCTTCTGGGCGTCCTGGTACAGGGCCTTTTCCCGATCCCAGTCCACGTGGACGTTGGTGTTGCGAGACTACGCCTCCACGTGATGGCTGCTGGTGTCCATGTCTTCCAGGAATTTGTCGATGATCCATTGCTGCCAGCGGTTCGGGTCGAAAGCGACATGGTCTTTGGATTTGCCTTTGCCCTGCTCCTTTCACATATGCCTGCACAACGAGCGCCAGGCTGCGTTGAAGTGGTATCCTCCCTCGGCCTGCAGCCTTTTCAGGTGTGTGAGTGCTGTCTCGTGTAGGCGGCGCTGCCAGCCGACGCGGAAGATTGTCCGCGGGCGGCTGGGGTCAGGGTAGCGGCGATCTTCCCGGTTGTGAGAGCTGCGTGGTTTTGGCTGGCGCCGGGGGGTGCTCCCTGTGCCCCTGCCACTGTCGCGGTCCTGATCCCAATAGCTCTCCCTGGTTCTGTCCCACTCGTTGGCGTTTTGCTGGCGCCACGGTGCCCCCGCTGCGCCCCTGTTGCGGTCGCGGTCGCGGTCGCGGTCGTGCTCTTCAGCACGGGTCCGGTCGCCAATCTCTCTGGACGCGCGCCTCACCGCAGTCTCGTATGACTCCCAGGCAACTGGCTCCCGCGCCCTGCCGCGCAGGCGCTCTAGCTCATGCGCAGGGAGGGGGTTGAATGCTGGGCGCCTGTCTTCCGGGCCTTTGGATTTGAGTCGCGAGTGCATCGCCCGGTGGTCGGCAGCGGCCGCCAGAAACGCGATCGGTTCCGTGGCACGAAAGACTCTCGTGGCACATGGCTGCTTGGCTGGGTCCCCGAGGAAACGCTTACTTTTGCAAACATTTGTTTTAACATTTTTTTGTCGGCGGGGCGAGAGCGAACCTCTTCCGCTAAAAGCTAGGCGGGCGACGCGCAGCTTTAATTAGGGAGACAGGGCGCAGGAAGGCGGGGCGTCAGGCGGCCGGAGCAGGTGGAACCCGGGGTGCAGGCGGTGCCGAAGAGCTTGCACAGGAGAATGTACGCCGTGGACGAGGGCCGGGGGCGAAGACCCGGAAGGTGGTGGAGACGGTGTAGCCGTCAGCGGCACGTCGCGAACACCAGCCTGAAGTACAGCGGGGGAGGACGTGCCCTTGACCAGGTCGACGCCCAGGAGGGAGAGGAGCACCACGAAGGCGATGAGCAACGTTGTGCCACCGGATGAACAGCTGTTTTAACAAGCACTCTCGCAACATGTGCGCGCGCACGAGCCCAGGGCCGAACCCGACGGCACCGTAGATAGATTGCATGTTTGTGGAAAGGATCGTGCTCTCCAAGATGCTGGACCTCTCGTTCCTGCAACTGCCCCGACCTCGGCTCCGACCACGAAGCAGCGCGCCTCAAAATGTCCATCGGTTCCAGAGGCGCGACAAAACGAACGATTCTGGACAAGATGACTACGTACCAGACCACCCCAACCCAGCCCGGCCCGAAATCACGAATTTGACACGAATTTCAGGTTGGGGGGCGGTACGGCTTCCATGTGTTTTTTCAATGTCCCCCGACCCCCCCACTCTGGAAATGGAGGGCAAATTGAGGCCTTCGGGTTGGGTTGGGGTGGTTTGGTGGGCGGTGACAAGAATAAATCGACAACGCGCGCGCTTCCGTTAGAGTCCGCCATTGGACCGACGCAGACTATCAATGCCATGTGGCCGAACTGTTGGCCGGGGAAGCTCCCCCGACAGACGTCGGCGAGAGCTGTGTCAACATAGAGGCTGCTGTGATCGGAGCTGCAGGGCGGCTCCAGCGTGCCCGAGGGCATCAAGGCCAGTGCCGCGACGACGACCAGCAGGAACAGTCTTGCAAACTCCGCAAATTACATGAGAAATGCCACGATACCGACAACGCAGATGGAAAGACTAGAGCTGCGATCAGCAAAATGGTTTCCAAGGGGGCTCGTAGCATCGAGAGGAAGAACTTAAAGGCCAATATTGCAGATCTTGTTCAAAGCTGCGGCGACATCAGGGACGTTACCAAGCTCGAGATCAGCCGAGCCACGGGGCGCATGCTGAGAACGACGACGGAAGATGGCGACGAAGGAACCGACCGACGCAGAATTTTCGAAATTGCTGCTTCTTTCTACGAGCAGTTCTACAAGGGCTGCGGCGCTGCCGACGAGTTGGACAAAGAAGGACCCCCCGGAAACGCTAGAAAACCAACGTCACCGCCGCGCGTCGCAATGCCGCCCTTCAGCTTGAAAGAGCTCTGGCATGTAATCCACCGACTCCGGAACGGCAGGTGCCCCGTTGCTGCAGGCGTCGCCGCCGATATGCTCACGGGTGGAGGCGCGCGCGCGGGGCGGCATCTCCTGAAGCTCTACAGCGACATCATTCGACTCGAGCTGGAGCCGCCAAGCCAGTGGAGGCAGACGACGATCCGAATCATATGCAAGTCGGGGGGTCCAGGGCTACCATTGAATTTCATGAAGTGATCGGTTCGGTTCGGTTCGGACCGGCTCTGCAGCCGGATCGGTTTTGCTTGGCCAGTTCGGTTTTGACGCGGGCTCTGTTTTGGCTGGTTCGGTTTGGGTCTGGCTCCTGTTCGGTTCGGTCCCACCAGGTCGGTCCCGCCGGTTCGGTTCGGTCCCGCCCTCGGTTCGGTCCCTCCGGTTCGGTTCGGTTCGATTGACGGTTTGGTTCGATTCGGTCCGACCGTTCTGGTTCGGTGCGGTTAGCGATGTTGGGCGCCCCGCCTGCGTAAGCGACGGCCCAGTTTGAAAAAAAGGAAGAGGAGGAAGAAGAAGAGGAAGAACAGGGCTTGGGACGGGAAGATGTATTGGAGCATCGTTGATGCATCCTGGATTCACTCTGGTCCTCCTCCTCCTCCTCCTCGTCCCTCTCCAGCAGGCGGCAGGGGCACGCGGAAGCGTCATCCTGCCTTATCTAGGAACGCCTCCAAGCTGCTCTGGACGTCGGGAAACCGCCGCAGTTCCCCGACGGCTTGGCGGAAGGCTTCAATGACGCCGGAGCGCCGCTCCTGCGACAGCAGCAATTCGTCCTTGGAGGCCGCCCGAATGGGGCCAGAGCAGACGCGGTCGAACAATCGGGCCGCATCGCCGGTGCATCGGCGACGTGGCGCACTGTCAATGCATCGGCGATGCGGCGCGGTCCTCCCACGTAAGCATCGGGCCGCATCGGATCGCCAGGAAACCGAACCGAATCGGATCGGGCCAGCCGAGATCGGCATCGAATCGATATCGGATCGGATCGACACGAGACGGACACTGCAGGAGTCCTTCAGCCTCACGACATGATCGCTGCTCTCCGCCCGGGGCAGCGCGGACAGCGCCTCGAGCTCCTGCCAGTAGATGCTCCACACGTCTGCCAGTGGCTCGCACCGCAGGGCAACAAACGGCAGGCGGTTGAAGTCCGCCAGCAGCTGGGCCATGCGCAGCGGGAGCTCCTCCTGCAGCCAGCGCGCCTCGCGCACGAACGCTGCCGGCGTCGCCGTCTTCGACGTCTTCGCCATGCGCTCCTGCCCGGCGGAGCGGGTGGCGAAGGGGGGGGGAGCCTTCTGGCATGGCAGGGCAATGCAAAAAGGGGGAGGAGGAGGGGGAGGAGGCGAGGGTCGGATCGGATCGGATCGGCCGTCCTCAGAAGTGCCCGTCACGCGAGCAGCTGCTGGGGGGTGCGGCACTGACGAGCACCACGGCCCATGGAGGGGAGGGAGGGAGGAGGGAGGCGCCCCCTCTCCGAAACCACGGGTGTTCGCGCCCAGCGACTCTCCCAAGGCCAGGAGGGGGTTCGCGGAAGGGCTCGGAGGTGTCCGAGGCAGAGCGCCTCGTCGAGAGCGGGAAAACCGCTGTCAAGCCCTCCCCCGGTACTTGTTGGAGGCCGCCTACATGGCGCCGGAGCTTATGGGATCCGAGGAGCGCACCGTAACGCCGATGCATCGGCAATGTATCCGCGACGTCGGGATGTAGAAAACAGGGTTGTGGATCGAGCCGCAGCGTGATCCTCCGACCCCGTCGACCGTCTGAGACGAAGCCAGGACTGGGACAAAATCGGAACAGGACGAATCGGGAAACTCTGAAAATCTAGCGGCTCTGGAGCATGTATCGGACGCCGCGGCCGTTCCAGGAAGCTTCGGACTGCTCTGAGATCTCTCCAGAAATTTTTGGATAAATTGATCCCTGTCCTGAGCCCGCCCGACCATCTACTCCGGGTTCCAATTGGGGGAGGCTTGATGTTACAGCGAAATGTTCGCGAGCACCCGTCAGCACCAAATGCAGAATCTCCACTCAAGAGGGCGCATATGCTCATCACCCAGCGCTTCCCCTTCCAACCAGCAAGCGAAACTGGGGGCACAGCGGCCACCGTTTGGGCGGCCTGGATGCTCAAAAGACCGCCCCCCCTCTCGCGCAGCGCAGCCCCCTCTTGCACTGCCGCTGGGCTCCTGCAGCTCATTGAGCGTAACGTTCTGGGGCGGCCGCTGCGCCGCCAGCCGGTCGATCCTGGCCAGCGTCGCAAGGGGCGCCCGGCACGGCCGCAGCGCGGCCGCCATCGCAGTCCCGCGCCCGCGCTCAGCCGAGGGATCCGAGGGATGGAACTGTCGGACTGCCAGAACTGTTGCTGCTGCTGTTGCTTATGCCGCTGCTCCTCCTGCTCCTCGTCATCGTCCTCGTCCTCCTCCTCCTCTTCCTCCTCCTCCTGCTCTTCCTCCTCCTTTTCCTCCTCGTCCTCCTCCTCTTCCTCCTCCATTCCTGTTCCGTAGACGTGTTGGCTCAAGCCATTTTGGCTCAAGCGCGGCCAACAGGTGGCCATGCTGCAACCACGGCACTCCTGCATCGAATGTTGCTATCCATATCTGTGCGCTTCTGCCATGACGTGGCGCAACCGGGCTCCTGGGCATGGCGGCGGGGCCAATGGCCGCGGACACCAGCGCAAGTGGGGCCCGACGCAGCCGAGGCCCTACGACGTGTGCTCGGTATGCGGGCACTGGGAGTTCCGGCCTACGGCAGTTCGTGTTGCTCGAAGTGTGGGGTTCCTGCTTTGCTGATGACGGCGATGTTCATGCAGGGCGTCGTCGTGGTCGACGTGACCCTTCGGGGGTGCGCAATGACAAGGATTCACATTATTGGGAGGCCAAAAATGCTGGCCTTTCTGATGACGATGCGGTTGACTATGCGTCCCTCACGGATGTCATCGCATCCACTGAACGCCACCTCCATGACCTTCAGAAAATATCTAGTCGTACTGATGGGGCTGGTACCCTTGGAGATCTTATCATAGATACTAAGAGCCAGCCTCATTGTCATCGCGCTGCTAAGTCTGGGCTACTACCTCCAACCCTTCAGTCAAGAGCGGGCGGCCAAGCGGGCGCATTGGATTCTGCTTTTGTTTTCTAAGGTGGATAAGGCTATCATGGAGACTACTACTATCAGGGATGATGCTTTGGCCACGGCTAATGACTGCGACGAGCGGATCCACAACCTCCGCATGAAGCACGACACCCTTGAACTGGACCTCAAGAACTGGGAGGCTAAACAGGAGGAGATTCGGAAGGAGTTCCCATTTCTTCCCCCGCCTGACTCTGACCCTGACCTCGCCTTCCTCCGCCTCCGCCTGGACAGGGGTGGGCCCGAAGGTGGGGATCCTGAACTTGATGCCGCCTTTGCGCTGTTGGAGGGGCGTCTCAAGGATGCGCCCCCCTCGGAGGATCAGGGGGGTCCCTGGCACATCCCGGGGAGAGGTCGAGGACGAGGAGGAAAGGACAATGGCAAAGGCGGTCGTCGTGGTCGAGGGCCTCCTGCTGCTGTCCCTGCTGCTGCTCCGCCTGCGGATTCTGATCATAGCCATGGGCCTGATCGTCCGAACCGTTTTTCAGCTTTCAACTTCGAGGGCGACGATCTCGATGACGAGGGCATGGAGGGCGGTATCAGTGAACCTGCCGCCCTTTCCGATGATGAAATGAACACTGCGGAGTGGGACCGCCGACGTCGTCGCCACCTGCAGGACTCGGCTGGGAATGCTCACTCTGGTGGAGACCTGGCCAGGGAGCCTGCGGGGTAGCCCACGCCAGTGCCTAGTGGCAGTCCCCGTCCAAATCTCCAGGGACGTACCCCAGCGGCGGGCCAGCCAGGCCCAGCCACAAGTACCTCACCGAGTACGGTCCCACCAAGGTCCAACCGTGCCTCCAGGAACCGTCGTGTCCGTGGATGGCGCCTTGCCACTGCCAATATCACGTCATGGTCTTCTGGGCCGGCGCTGTTATCTGGCACTGATTTCGATGCGTTGTGTATCCAGGAGCTTTTGAGGCCCTCTGGGAGCATGGACGAGTGTGTGCAGCAGGCGAATCGGTCTGGATATTGTGCCCTGTTGCACCCTTCTGAGCCTACCGATGCTGGAGGTCTATCTTCTAGCGTCGGCATCTTGAGTAAGTGGTCTGCTGCTTTGAAGCCTCTTGACTTGGGAATTGCAGATATGTCTACGCCGTCTCGCCTCTTGTCTTCTACTTGGTATGGCGTTGTGCCCAGTGGTGTAGCCTGCTACTCTGTATACTTGCATTCAGGGCAGGATTCGGCAACTCGCGAGGCTAATACTGAGCTGTTGTACCAGATTGCCGAGTTCATCAAGACCGTCAATGCCCCGTTTTTGATTGGTGGGGATTGGCAAATGGAGCCCACCCAGCTTCAGGAGTCCGGTTGGCTTGACCTCCTGGGGGGTATCATGGTTTCGCCTTGCGAGGTTACTTACACTTCGGGGCCTGACACCTCTTTGATCGACTATTTCGTTGTGCACGCAATTTTTGCTGAAGATATTTGCTGTTGTGTCCATCACACCACGACGATTGCCAAGCATCAGCCCGTGGTCTTGGGGGTCCAGTCGTCGTTTCAACGCCGTCTCGTGAGAATGGTCAGGAGACCTCCGTCCATTCCGGTGGCCATTTCGCAAGCTTGTTCTCCTTGCCCTCCAGAGTATGACGACATCTTTCGTGGGGGTCTGAATGCCGACACCTTGGACGGCGGGACATCGTTGTGGCTCCAGCGCGCTGCTGGAGAGCTGTTGGGTCTCCACCAGCTGGACGTGTCTAAACAGCGATTCTGGGGTCAGCCTTTGGAGACGCGGATGGTTTCAGCATCTTTGTTGTGCAGGGGCCCACCTGCTGCTGGATTTCATGCTCGTTTGTGGAGGCATTTGACGACGAGACTGGATGTCCTCATAGGTTTAAGGGAGGCTTCTAAGGCCACAGACTCGTACACGTGTGCTACTAAGATACGCCGTTATCGACCCAACCCTCGTGAAGGCCAACCTCCCTCAGAATGGACTTGGTGGCTGGAGCGTGCGCAGCATCTTCCGTCTCTTCCCCTGCCTGAGCTTCTTGAATTGCAAGCCCATGTTGATGCCTTAGCTTCTGCATTGGAAGTTCGAGCTGCTTCTGAACGTCGTCAGGCATGGAAGGACTGGGCTACCACTGAGGCGTCGAAGGGTTCCTCTGCTGCCTTTCGTTTTTCTCCGGGGTTCTGATGCCTGGGTTGACTTTGAGCTGGATCCCGATGTAGCTGATGAGCTTCTTGGGACCCCGATGCATCATGTGAAGTCTCGTCAGAATTTCTGGTACCCCATCTGGGGTGTCGATTTGGATTATCAGGTGCCGGAGTTTCCGCCTCTCGCATCGTTGCATCACTATGGACCTTGCGCTTGACAGGATTGTTAATCCTGCTGTTCCTTGCCACGTTGATGTGGTTACGATGTGGTTGGTTTCCCGCTGGAATGGGCTGCTTCCGCGGCACTTTTTGGACGAGGCCCTGACGTGGGCTACATCGAATGTCTCCTTGGATACTCATTGGGACGACCTTCGAGGCCCTGCATCTGCCCTTGTGGCCACGTTGCTGCGGCTTGGCTGGCGGTTGTCTTCGACGTCCTTGTGGATTACCCCTGGAGGTCATGCTGTTGACGTGGATGTTACTTCCCCTCGGGACGTTGCTGTTGTTGTATCTTGGGATGCAGATGTATGGGCGTGGTGCCAAACTCTACACCATCATCCTCTTCTTGCTCATCTGGACGGCCCCCCGTACCTGCCGCCGCTGAGGAAGCTCGTTGAACGCTTGGATCGGCAACATAGTACGTGCTAGCGCGCCGTGCTGACGGGTCGCTCCACTTATATTTGGAATGTTCGTTATGTGGGCACTTGTCCTCTGATGAGACGTCGGCGCTACACCATTTGATATGGAGCTATCCAGTCTTGTGGAAAGATCGACGCACATATGGATTACCGTCGCACGTAGAACGAGTTCGAGAGAGGTTCCCGGCAGATCCACTGTGGCATTCTGCTTTGGTGCCTGACCCTGAGCGTCTCCTACCCCCCACCCCCTGTTGCATTTCAAAGTCCAATGGGACTTCCCTGGTGGCCCAGGCCAGCCATTGTTGAAATCGCCCGTTTTTGGCGACGGCTCTGGCCTCTATGGGCCGTACCAGCGCGCCCTCCGATGTGGCTCTTCGGCCGTATCCGTGAGCCCTAGTGGATCTGCTCAAATGGCCGCTTTCGGAGCTTACCCTGCATTACATCAGTGTGTTCCTGGGTCCGAATCTCTCGCGTTATTGGCTTTTCTTCTTCATGCTGCATGGACGATACGAATATTTCGGCGATTGTCAGTGGGTGATAGATACATGATCGACTCCTCAGGCCTGCTCTACTTCGGGGTGGGCCCATCACGCCGGCTTTCGGAGGCACATCCATTTCAAGGCTAGAGATATAGGTTATGAATTAATTGACGTGCGCAAGGTAACATCTCATCTTGATGTCATGCCGCCCGCTCAGGCGGCCTGGATGACCATAGGCAATACGCATGCTGATGCGTACGCTCGCCGTGGAGCGCGGCTGCATCCCGTAGATACTGCCGGTTTAGAGGGCTTGTCCCGCTCCCGTATAGCAGTTGAGCATGTGGGCATGTTTGTGGCTCACATGGCCGCTCGAGCCCACGAGAAACTCGAGGGTATCTCCCGCCCTGCCCCTCCTCCCCCTCCCCTCTCCTCTCCCCCTGGTTTTCCCTCCTCAAGGTGTACAGCATGAGCTGGCCTGGGACAAATACGTCCAGCGTTTTCGATGCGTGGCGTGCTGGTCGTCCAGTCGCCACAAACATGTCTTGGCTAAAGCCCCTGCTCTGCCCCTCATGGTACGGGGCATGTGGCTTTCAAGACGGGAAGGTACATATTATGTAAGTTATGCGGTTCGTACTCGTCCACCAATGTAGCACATCTTGCTGCCCAGTGCAATCAGAAGACGGCCTCTGCCACAGGCCGTGATCGTCTCGGGCGTCTGCTCGGCGGACTTGACCCAAAGCGAAATGTGTCCTTGGGCCCGGTGGTCCCCGCCACCCTCAGGATGTGTAGTGAGCTTGGGGATCCCACCGCAGTGGACCCCAGCGTAGCTTGGGTCCCACACCTTTAATTCTGCAACTGTGAGCGTAACGGTCTGGACGCCAGTCGTGTCCATGGAAACTTCAGCACCCGGGTCCCCCCCCGTTCCGGCCGACCGACGCAAACCTTGCACTGGCATCCCTG